AGAAAACATATATATATAAGACTTAGTTGATCTTCCTCCTAACATGACCCTAATGGGCTATAAGTGCGTCTATAAAATTAAGACTTGTTCTAAGAGGATTGTTGAGCTTACAAAGCTTACTTAGTGGCTAAAGGGTATATTCAAAAGTATGGGATAGACCACATAGAAACCTTTGCACCAGTGGCTTGTGTAACCTTTGTTCGTAGTCTCTTAGCTATTGTTGTAATTTGTAAATGAAATCTTTATTAAATGAATGTCAAAAATATCTTCCTACATAATGATTTGACAAAAGAAGTCTATATGCATTCCTCTCTTGTTACCATTCTCCTTGTAAGGTTTGTATGCTTTGATGGGCTTTATACATGTTATCATTCTTCTTGAGCTTAGTATGACAAATTTAGTTCAATCCTACACAATTTAGTTTTATTTTTGGTTCACATAATTTTGTATTATTTATTCATTAAACTAAAGATGAAATTGTAATTCTACTTTATATTAATGATATGATCATGAATGATGAATCTTGAATTTCAACATTACAGCCCTTTTTAGTCAAAATTTTTAAATGAAAAATATTGATTTTCTAAGCTATTCTTGGGTCTTGAATTTTCTCAAAATTCTAACGACTATTATCTTTCCTAAGTCAAGTATGCATCTGACTTACTTTCTCAACTTTGCATCATGGATAGAAAAAGTAAATCCACCCCCTTGAAACTCAATTTAAATCTTACATCGCTTGATGACACGTTTCTTGATACTCTTATTTATCTTATTATTACTTTTGATATTATATTTGTTGTTTATATTGTCAATCAATTTATAACTATTTCATACCTGTCACTCCTTTTTGCCATCCTTAGAATTTTGCGATATATTAAATAATTTTTTTTCAAATTTTTTACTTTTATACAAACTTTTCTTTAGTCTTATCTAAATACTTGGTAATGATTCAACATATTATAGATCTACAATATATTATTATTTCTTCTTAAGCAATTTTCTTATTTTTTAACATAATGAAAAGTGAACTATAACTTCTTGTTCTAGACCAAAATTTAAATATCGTGTTCTTATTAATGCTACTATAAATTACTTTGATTACAATGATTATTAGTTGGTATAGGTGTTTTATATTCTCTAAATATTATCATTCATTATAAAAATAGTATTTATAATTTTTTTTATAAGTGAGTAAAGTACGTTAAAATCAATTATTACCTCGTAGGATAACATGTTACCAATGACATAATTCAGTTGATTTTTGTTTTCTTTACTAAGTAAACAACTTTTTTTTTTTTTTTATCAAAGTTGATATATCTACTCGTTTTTAAAACACAAACCAAAATTATGAAATATTTTAAATAGTAATAATTAACTAATTATAATAACTTAATTGAAACAATCCTATCAGTTAAATATTTTCTATACAAGTTTCTTTATTTACATTGACTTGCTATCATAGCAATTTATACTCTATCATCTCCATAATATATAATATGTACCTGAATATATATTTTCTTATGTCTTGTACATTTTTTTTATTAATAAAGTATATTTTTTAAACAAAATAAATGAAATAATAAATTATAATAAAAAAACTTAATTATTTATTTTTTCATATATTTAAATTTTTATTAATTTTTTAATTTTAAAATATTTTAAAAAATAAAAGTACTCAAATTTTTTATGGAAATTTATAATACAATAATAATAAATGATAATTTTTTTAAAAAAATAGTGTTAATCAGTGATATGTTATGAATTTAGAATTTTTATTTTATTTTTTGTATTGAATAGTAGGATATGATATTTTGAAATAATTCTTATCTTGTAATAAGATAGTTCTATTATAAAATTATATAATTTTATCAAATAATAAAATAAAATAAATAGTATTATAAAAAATGTTGTGATTTAAATTAAATATAATAATACTTATTATTACTGTTAATTTTAATAATTAAACTTGTTTTCAAGTATTTAAAATGATAAATTTGTATTAAAAAAATTTCTTATATTTTTAACATAATAAATACATTAAATTTTAATAAAAAAATTATTTTTAATTGTTTAACCTCAACTTTAATAACTAAAGTTATGATAAAATTTATATGTTTTCTTAGTGTTATTTATTAATTAACATCAATTTTTAATAAAAATTATATTTAATTTTATTACATATTTTCAAGATAAAATTCACTTTTTAATTAATAAACAACATTAATAATGTTTAAAAAAATTGCACTAACAATAAATAAGAAACTGTATTTAAATTTTGTTTATAATGTTAGAAGTTTTCTACAATTAACTAGTCATATAATTTTAATTTAATTTAAAATGTTAACAAGTGTTTATTAGTTAACAAATAATTTTTTAAAAAAAAATTCATACTTATGATACTTTTTAGATAGTAACTTAAAAAATTAAGGTATTAATTAATAAAGCCTTAATAAAGCCTTAATTCAAATTTATTTAATATAATCATATCTCATTGTTTATAACAATAACGCTTATTGTTATGTATTTTATGAGTTTTTATTTATTTTATAAAGTATGTATTAAATAAAAAATGACATATTGAAAAATGTTAAAAGTATTTAATACTTTTGTTTAATAATTTAAGAAGTATAAATAAAAATAAAAGAATAGAATTAACAGCCAAGGGGAGTAATTGAATGGGGTCCACTGTCCACGAGGTAGGAATAGGATTAGACATAGATATGTTGGTCAACGACCTTTCACAGATTCACTGAAACGTAGGTCCACTGTTTCCCATCGTGACGTCATCCCTGTCGGTACCTTTCTTCATTTCTCACCCTCCCACTATCTTGTTTTATGCTCTGTACCCCTTAAATCAGGAGAACATTTTTCAATACAATTACCCTTCACACTATATTCAAATATTTTTATTTTAAGAATAAATAACAGCTGAAAATTTTCAAGTATAGAAGTAAATTTGCCTTTATTGATGACTATTTTCATACACACAATTAAAAATTATTATTTTTTATTAAGATAAGACTTATAAGATAGATCTGTTTACTAATCTTGTCATACTCTTTTAGTTACTTATGCTAATTTTATTTTAGTTATTGCAAATTTTTAACCAGTATACATTTACATAGAATAAGAAAACGTATTAATAAATTTAATTTTTGTTATTTATGGATTATTTCGGCTTAATCTTTAGTTTCAAATCTGAAATATTCACAAAGATACATGTGTTATGAACAAGAAAGTGTTATAATTTTTAATAAAAAAGAGGTATATTTAACTTCTTATCATATACAATTTTGAACAAATAAAAAATTTACAGTTAATAATGCATATGATTTTTTATTAACATGTATTATCAACTAGACATTTTAATTTTTAATTTATATTGTTACTCTCTTGAAATTCTTCCTATCTTAAAATGTTTCTTCCACGAAGCTAACCAACCACAGTTCAGATCACCATTGGAACTCTTGAAACAGTAACTCTACTCATCCATGTATGACACCAAAACAGTACAAAATACTTTCTGTTACGTTATAAACAACATCCAAGAACAAGTCACAAGCTCCTACAGCGTGGGCAAGATAAGGAGATAAATGAATATGTTTAGCATTGCACAAAGGAACACAGTGTAAATGATTGCATTAAATAATTGGTTACTGTGTTGTAGTGCGTACACAATGTGAAATATTTATAATTTGATCCATTTTAAGGTAGCACGGCAAATGCGGAGTTGAAATTATAAAGGGTGTAGCCAAACCCATTTCAAATTTAAAAGTAGTGGTTACTATTTGAAGCAATCATCTTTCAGACATGTTTTAAAATTTCAAGGGTATTTGCACCATTTTTTGAATTAAATTTTTGAAAACAAGAACTTGAAAGTTGCATTTTTTAAATTATTAGTAATTGTTCTCAAATTAAATAAATAAAATTTGACCATTGATCTTAAGGTTGCACAAAATTAATCTAATTACAATAATTTTACTCTTTTTAAATTAAATTAGTTGGATATTTAATATGATAGCCAAAGATTTAGTTTTTAGAGAAAAACAAATACTTAAGATTTGGAAAAATTGAACAAGGGATCATGCATGGTGAGTGCTTTTGTCCCCGGTGCATTTTATTAGTTGAGAAAAAGAGGAGTATGCTCTTTGGTTCTTAACTATCACATTCCCATGGCTGACTTCAGTCCCCAATGTCAAGTTACGTGCCGTCAGGGATTGGGGCTCCAACTATGATATCATCGGCCATTGATTTTGCACCAAGCCCCAGAGATATTTTTCAATAGTCATAATCATGTATTGACCAAAAAAAATACTCATAATCATGTTATTGACATGACTTTTAATTTCATTTCAAACTGAAAAAAAAATCCTAACTATATATATAAATTCGTTTAATCGATTGCTGCATCAACCCCATTTGTCTTTCCATAATATGAAATGCCAATTGTGGCAGAACGGATTCTTATTTGACAAATTCTACAAATGACAAATATGGTATAAATAGGTATCGTTCAACTTATTTGAACACACGCAATGTCAAATACATCAAGTTTTAGCCCGAAACAAGTCATTTGAAAGCAGACGAGGAATCATGCTTTTGAAAATCAGACTTCTAATGCATTGGATCCAACGAGTGATTAAAGAAAGAAAAAACAGTTGCGAACTTAACAAGCTTTTCAACACTGTTATTAAATAATTTTCATGTAAGTTTTACAAAAGTAGTTAGAGAGTACATATTATCACTCTTATGTCTCCATTGCTACTTGAATTAAAAAAAAAATATGTAAAATACAAATGAGAAAAAAAAAGAATATTTTAAAAAAATCACTTAAATAAGGATGACAATAGCTATACCCAATAAACTAAACTAATTATATTAAATGAAATTTACATAAAATTCAACTAATAATAAATAATGTAAAAAAAGTCAAATGTATGTAATATTCTTCTCTCAAAAATCATTCACAGCTTTGAGGTGTTCACTGAGACGAAGTACCATATTATAACTTCTAATATAAAATTTGTAACTTTTTGAAAAGATTTTATAATGTTTCTGTTAAAAAGTAACAGATTAGTACAAAGGTAGATTAATATAAAGCTACAAAGTATTCAAATAACGCTGTCAACTTTTGAATCCTGACAAGCCTCTGCATTCATGTCCCAAGGCTTCGCGGGGCACCGAAAGGGAAAACTCTGAAACTCAGACAGGAACCTCGGTACCAGAGAACAGATGCAGTAATCACAATAAAACATGTTCATTTCAAACATATTAATACATCGTACTATGATGATATATACATGGCTGGCATGGCTATAGTAGAAAACTAGTCATTTTCATTGGTTCTGGGGCTGGGCTGCAATACATAGCTAAGAAGGTAATGTGGTTGTTAACTCTTTGGCTAGTCAATATCTCCTTGTGATTGTGCACATATACATCATGTGACTTTGACATCAGTATTAGGATGATTGGAAGGAGTGTAGAAGGGCTCAAAACTGTCCTGCTCTTATATCTCTATCAAGCCGATCTGCATTAAGCGTCCCTGGAAGCTCTCTAAAGTCTTCATTGAAGATAGAATATGCACTGCATGTGTTGTGGAGCAGAAAATATTTAAAAAATACCACAATTTCCAACAAGTAAACTGAATATCCACAATCATCGGTTAAAAAATACTGCATGCATAGCTGGTTCAAAATGTTTTACCAAAAATGCACTATAAATAGATATGTAACCATGCAATTTATAAGCTTATAAATGATGCAGAGATGAGACATAGAATCTGTCACTAGTTTAATTGTCAATATACTTCTTTTCGTCTTTCTATTCCAGAAAAAGTAGTATTCCATATTTTTGAAATGAAATGCTAAACTATGTCATCCTTCTCATGGATTGAGAAATCTGAAAATAGGTGAAGACAGTAGAGATTTTACACATAATACTAGGAATTTTCCGAAGGGAAAACATAAAGAAGAATCCAAAAGCACAAAAGAAGGATTTAAAATCCTGTTATATTATTTAATGTGACATAGATATGTCCAATTTTTAATCAAGGATTTAACTATTTATACTCTTCCTTCCCAGTCTTTTGTTCTTCATTTTGTTTTGCTTCTTTTGATAATATTGAAGGTCCCTAACATAATTCAGTCTTATTTGAATTCTCAGATTTGACTGTCACCATTGTAAAACACTAGGAAGTAGAAACCCCATAGTACACAACAATTATTGTATAGTCATACCTGATATCACCAGCTTGGCGCTTTCCAAGATTGAAGAGAACAAGACAAAACCCAGTTGCAAGTATCTACACGGAAGTTGTGACAAACAATAAGGACACGGAAATTTTATCATATACAAAGACCAGAAAGTCCCTTTTAAAGACATCTAGCATGCTCGGTTCAGCTTAAACTTAGATAATCGTTTATTTTTCAACAGCTTTTTAGGAATCTGAAAGAAATAAACCATTATTTTTCCAAACTAAGTTGAACCAGTCTTGCACTAAATTTAATCTCTACAATCTGAAACCATGTTTATGGGTCTGTAAACAAGGTTCATTGGTCCTCATGGTGCAGGTATATTCTCAGCTTATCAGATTAATGTATACCCAGATGATTTACAAGTAATGAAATTTACCATAGAACTTCCACACAACACATGCTCATAATTTGCTCGAACTTTTGTTTTGCAGAAGTTGTTCTGGCCGGGGGGGGGGGGGTGGGAATTCAGATTCATGATAAATTCAGATGACTAGGGCTGAGTGCTAGCTGAATTAGCTTATAGACTGAAAAAGATCAAATAATTACACAGTATTTTGTGCACTGCATGATAAGGTCCAGTGTCCCAAGTCTCAGCTAGGCATGGAAAAAATATCTAGTGGATTTGGACCATAAAAAAGATAGATTAAAAAAGAAAGAAAGGAGACCTACATACAAAGGTCCGAGATCCCATCTATGGGCGATGGGAGCCAGGATAAACCACATAATTATGAGAGCCCATGCCTTCAGACTGAGAGTGAAAATTACCATCAAAAGGATATCTGTCAATGGAGGATGAACATATTTAGAAGATTGTTAATCTCAAAGGGAACTATTATTGTTGTTGTTGTTGCCCATAAGAGATCCACACATCTAAAACAATTCCTTGAATAATGCACAGTTAATGAATTATTCCAGTTTTAATTTTGTCCTCATGCAAGCAGATTATGGTGACACATATATTACAAAGAAACACTGCATTTATGGACCAAATTGATGTATAGCTTGAAGATTTTGAAAATCCAATATTCAAATGGTTCTATTGAGATGAAAAAGTTAAATGATGATTTGAACATTATGGATTCAATGGTGAATGATTACATATTTAAAGGATCAAAATGAAAATTTACTAGTGTCTATATGAATACCATTTGTGCAGCTTATTACCTGGAAGCTTCAAGTTATCGTGTAGAAAAGAGTATAGCCTCTTCTTCCACCAACTTGATGAGTGAGGAAGCCGAAACTTCTGCAGAAGTAGAAATCAAGGAAAAATCGCATTGAGGCGATGATTACCAAATTGACATTCATTAGATGATAAGGCATGTTCGGTTGGGATTGTTTTGGAGAATTAATCACTTATTTTAAAAAACTCTCATAAAGCTAACAAAAATAAGCAATTATTTTTTCAAAATAAGTTGAACTAAGCATGTATTAAAAGAATTGATTTTACCAGATCTTCATCGTCATCATCATTGTCATGTCCATCCTTTACTGGTGGCTTTGGTTTAACAGCAACAATCAAGCAATCTAGTAAATAAATAATTAATGCATCTTTGTAAGAAAAGTTAACGTCACATGCATAAAAAAATAAGGTAAGATACTATAGCCCCAAAAGGAAAGAGAAGGAACCGATATAATCAACAATTAATCAAGTATGTTGACTTTTTCTTATAATAGGCCAAGCAATAATGTTATGGACAGAAAGATTTTAACCGACAGTTAAATGATGCTGTACAAGGAACAAAAGTGTTTTCGATATGTAAACTTATCAAATTAATGTCAATAATGAAAGGACTAACACTCATAATGCAACCATATGATTGTGTATAGATTATAGCAGGTCACAGCAGAGGCAACAGCACATTTGAGGTAGAAATATCATAGGACAATTCTTTTTTAAAGGAAAAAAAGATAATATAATGCATTCATCAAACAGAAAAAACATTATGATTAGAATCATACCTCCATCATTAAGCTGTAAGTATACATCATCTCCATTTTTCAAGTCACACAATGCACTTCCATGTAGAATAAGACTCAAGTTATCAATCGGTAAACTATCATTCCCAGCAATTAATTTTCTCAAATCACGCACCTACATGCGATTTATAAGAAACAAAACGAAATCATCATTATTCTCGCGAAAAGAAAGACAAGGCCAAAATAAACTTGGTTTGAATTTCCCCTTCCCAATCGACAACAAGTTTTCAGAAAAACAAAACATTAATGAATTAAAAGTAAAACTGTTGGCAGTTTGAGGCATGAAATAGCCCTTGGGTGAGGATATTTAGTGCATGCCACTAAAGAACTCAGGTCATAAAGCTTTAAACACTGTAATGAAGATGCGAAATCCAATGGCAAGGTTCAAGTTTGTCACATAAACACATGTAAAGAGTACAAAATCCACAATTCATGCTTCAATTGCAAGTAACCCTAACTCCCTAAGAATTATTGTCAAGTGAAATGTGTCATCCGTGAACTCGTGTGTATTGGAATTCAAATCAAATGGATCTATTAATTCTCGCATTCGGTATCTGATTAGGATCACAACAGAGAATTCAAATGGTGTGTATTGAAACGCTATAATTGAAACAAAGAAAATTAAAAATTGGTAATTGAAGGGAAAAGAGAAACCTTAATGGAAGCGGGAACGAGGAGGCGAGAAGGGCGAGTAGGACCAATAGTTTTGAGAACGATCTCCACCTTCTCCGATTCATGCTCCTCCATATTCATCCCCAACACACAAATCAAATATGGATCTAACTCGATTTCGCTCACTCTAATTTACTCGCAAATTCTATTGAAAAAACTGAGAAATTATTGGTGTTTGGGAAGTGATCGCAAAATTAAAAACTCTAATTTTTATTTAAATTTTAAAATAAAAATTTAAATTTAATCAAAACTCATGTTGTATATTTAAATAGATTAAGTTGGCCTGAGTCTGATAATTTTCTTTATATAGATTAGATAAAACAATTAAAATTAATTTAAGCCTAAAATTTAAATCTTAAAAGAAAATCCTAAATTCTATCATTTATCTTATTTAATATGAATTTTGAGTTATCATTGCGATCATTTTTTTCCTTCTTAATAAAATTATCTTTAAAATATTTTTTATTTAATTTAAATTTTATTTCTAATAATTCCTTTTATTCTTGTGAAACTTTAAAAAATAATATTTATATTTGAAACAAGCTTCTGTAAAAAAATAATTTAAAGAATGAAATTATTTTTAAAATAAAATTAAAAAAATTTAAATGAAATTAATTATTATTCTTAATTAATGTAAATTAATTTTTTTAATATTTAAATCTGAAGGAAGTAGATCATAATAATACTCAAGTCATAAATAATCTTTCAATCATTTTAATATCTTATTTATAAAGTTTCAATTTTATTATTATGCAATTTTTTATAATAAAAATTATTAAAATAAGTGTATTGATACAAGTTATCAAATTTAAATATTTATATCATTTAATAATTTTTTATTAAATATAAAATTAATTATTTTTTAGAAATTATTAAATAATTTATCATATTATTTTATTTAAATAAATAATATTTTTAAAATGTAAATAAATATTATCAATGAAAGGAGTTGGATATTGCTTAAGTAAGCTTTCGTGCAAAAAATTTTCATCATGTAAACAACAAAAAAAGATAACGTAAAATATTTTTTTGTTCACACTCTATTTTACTTCTGATTGTTGTAATGAATTTTATTGTGGAAAGACATAATTCACTTGAATTGCTGTCACGTGTTTGCAAGATTCCCAATGATGAATGGACGCATTTATAAAAGTGATGAATGCACGTGCAGTTAATGCGAGAACTGCATGTGAAGTTTCATTTTTATTTAAGCAAAAATAGACTTGCTTAAGTGAAAATATAGAAAACAACAAAATTTTTTATATAAAACTGGTTTAAGTGAATTTCTTTTGGATTAAGCAAATTTTACAGATTCACTTAAGTGAATCATGTTTAGCTTAAGCAAATTTTAATTTTTTTTTCTCAATCTTCTTTTCTGCTTCTCCTCATGCTTAATACTCTCTCATCAACCTTTATATTTAATATTCTTTAACCTCTATTTTCAACTTTCTTCCTTCTCTCATACTTAACTCATTTGTTCTTCTTCCAACTCCCTCTTTCTTTCACTCTATGCCCAACTCCTCTCTTCTTTTTCTTCTTACTCCCTCTCTACCTCATACCTATATCTCTCTCTTTGCTTCATCCCAAACTTTCCACCCTTCTCTTCCTTCACCACCCATCTTCTTATATCTATCTATTCTCAATTCTCTCTACTTTCCATATATAACCTTCATATCCTCAAATGCACAAGATTAGCTTAAGCTAAATAGGATTCGCTTAAGTAAAAAAAAATTCGCTTAAGCTAATTTTATATAACAAATTTTGTCGTTTTTTGTATTTTCGCTTAAACGAATCTATTTTTGCTTAAACAAAAATGAAATTGCACATGCAATTTCTGCGTTAACTGCACTGGATCCGTATCCCTATAAAAGTACATTTAGGCTGATGCCAAAGCTCCTATTAGTTCAATATAGATTTTGTCACATAACTTATAATAATTACATTAGAAATCATGACCCAATGTTTATGATTTCAGTATATTTTCAACAGCTTCTGATAAATGAGAAAGAACTACTATTGCCACTGCACTTGAATGTTCACAAGCCATTTTCTTTGAAGGCTTGGACCACTTGGTGGGACGCAATCCATCAAAGCTAGCTGTGTTTCCATACAAATTGATGCAATGCAATATCAAATGCTGCTTAGCTTTGAAAAATGATTCAGGATTAAGATGCCATATTTTGAAAAAAAAATATCAATTTCTTTTTCTTTTAATTTTAATGCTAATTTAAAAAAAAAACAATAAAGACCCATATAAATGCTGCTTGAATGCATTTACCATTCATAGAGATGTATTGAGAAATAATTAGTTTTGTTTATTTAATATATGAAACTTTTTTTAAAAAAATAAATAAGTCCTAAATATGTACTCTATATATATATATATACTCCCTAATCTCTCTCTAAATTAATCTCTTCTTCGTTTAGAAATTTCATCTTAAATCTCCCAATAAATTCAATAAGTTTTTTTTCCTTTCCATTCAATAGATATTTAATTCAAGTTGTTTTAGAAAAATAATTGTTTAATTTTGTTAGGTTTTGGAAGAAAAAAGTGATTATTGTTAAAAAATTATTATTTTTTAAACATGCACTTATTTCTTTTCCTTTTAATTTCAATTTGATCCTTTTTGTAATGGAGTTGGTATTTGATCATTAGAAACTATATTTTAACTGTTACGTAAATCCATAAAAGACCAAATTGGAAAAAAGAAAAAAACATTGACAAATAAAATGTTAAAAGTGGTAAAATAGGATGGTGAGGTGAGGGGGACAATGTTTGGTTTCTTTGTTTCAGTGACAGATGCTTAAGTAAAAGTGAAAATTGAGGATACGTTACATTCGCCATGTTAAAATGAATACTGTAGGGTGTCCGTGCATCACGTGCTGTCTCAAGTTCTTTAGCTGGTGCCCTTTTTCCATGATATAAACGTACATATGTGTGATTGTGGACCCTTCAAAATAACCCCAAATAACAAAGGGCTCTTTGCTCTTTTTCATCATAATCCAATAGATCAGCTTCTTTTTCTTTCCTAGTATGATTACTGTTGGCATAATTTTTACCGACAGAACTCGGAAGTTCGTCTCCAAGTTATGCACCCTATAATTCAATCACTTTTCTCTTCATTATATATCAATTTTAGTCTCTCAAACTGCAAACAAAAATCTCATTTTAATTTTTAACTTTGCAAAACAACATTTATTTTATTTTTCAACATTTATTTTATTTTTTTTAATATAAAACAACAATAAAAAAACTAAAATGAATTATTTTTAAAACAATAAAGAATAAAATAATTTTTTTTTATAAAATTAAGAACTAAATTAATCCACGCTTATAATTTTAAAAACTAATATTTACTCTTTTTCTATTCAACTCCTTTTCACCCTATAATTCTTATTCTCTATACCATTCTAAGTTTTGATATAGAAACAAGCAAAGGGACTTGTGACAAGTCATCCATCGCTGCACAAAGGCACGGTGAAGTGTGTGTTTAAAAACTTAATAAAAAATCACATTTTTAACGTAAAAGTTATAACTTAAGACTTAGTAAAATCACGTTTTAACATAAGTTATAACTTATAGACTTGATAAAATAACGTTTTAACATAAAAGTTATAACTTATTGCACTGAAATGAATTGTCGTTCCATCGAAACGTGCCAGAAGAAGGCAAAGACAACAGTGCAGGGGAGTTGACACCAAATTACGCGTCGACATTGATTGAGATGCCATTGGTGATTGTGCGTTTCCCATGGTCCATGGATTTGGTAAATAATTTTCAGAGGACTAAATGAAAATTGTCCTCTGAAAATTTCATAGACTTTTTTGTAAATAACAACTCCTATTGAATATTACTTGTTGGTGAAGTTGCAGGTCATCTTGCTGACATTCATCTACATAATCCGCTGAAAAAAGAAATGATTCATTGGGGGGACAACAAAAATTGATTGGATCTTTGTCGCTTGAGAGGTTGATAAATGTAATAACCGTGAAGTGATTAACATACCAAAATGTACTACAATTTGAACTTTTATTTTCAGTATCTCACATGAGCTAACATAGTACTGAGACAACACACATGTCACAGTCATTGCAACGCATGACCCAAGCATGTGGCCGCTGAAAGTATTTACATAGGATAGCACGATATTTGATACAGTATACAACCAGTTCAGTCACAAGATTTGCATAGAGAAAGTTCAACTCCACGATAATCCAAGAGTTACACATGAACTAGTTTAACATTGAAACTAATCAGATTTTGACATCAGGGGACTCAGCATAAGAAATTGAAATCAGTTCAGATCTAAACTTGTCATCCTTATCACAGTTTGGCTTTGCAACCCCATCTGATTTCTTGCTCTCGGATACAGAAATAGAATCCAGAATCTTATCCGGTGAAGTGTTAGAGATAGCAATAAGGGACTCACGTGCCACCTCCTTAGACTCCTTCTTGCTAGGTGATTTGCTATCCATATAACTTTATGCCTTTTCTTTTTCCTACAAGCCAAACCCAAAATTCTGAGATCATCAAAGAGATCAGATGTGTTAATCTGTTTTGCGAAATCTGGTGAACCGGACACTTGACCAGGTTGACTAGAGATGCTGACAGGTTTGGGTCAAACCGGTCAACCATTCAACCATCAGGTTTCTTTGACCTCAACCTAGCCGCCAGACCTGGTCTACTACTGTGTGGTTTTTACAACTGTTTTAAATACAAGCACCTATCAGCATGTGGTTAAATTGTTTCACCCCATTACTACTATCATCATTATCGTTCTGCTTTTGACTGTGTTTGTGTGTGTATGAGAGAGACATTGCAGAAGAACTACATTTTTAATAAAATGTATATATAACTATTACTGAAGCATTAATCAAATCTTTTATAAATGCCTCTTACAGTAAAAGAAATGTATTAAATTATCAAACTTCATCAATGTTAATGATTTATAAAGATAAACAGAGAAGAGAAAATCAAACAGTCAAACATTATTAGTATCATACACATACGCAAAGGGTATGATCACTTGGTGGTCTCACCAAATTTTTTTTAAAAATCTTAGAAATACTAAAACATGTTGAATGGCATGTGGCCACTTTGATTTCTACCTTTACTTTAAAATATTTCCAGAAGAACCAA